GCTGTGACATGACCACAGGTAGGCTTATTCTTAGACTGAGCTTGAGGTCACCTGACAACCTAATTATACTGAAGATTCTTATTAGGTTTTCTTCCACCTTATTACATCCTATCCTTCTCTATTATCCCTCTGCCCCAGATAAGAGTAACCAACTAATCTTATTATACTTTTATTTAAAAACTTTAGGTGCTTTGATATGAAAAGGGACTCTAATAACACCATGTAAACCATGTCAGCTAATCCACAACAAAAAGATATTTAAAAATCGCTCTTCTGAGCTCAGGGTATAGCTCAGTGGTATAATTCTTGCCTAGCATGCTCAAGGCCCTGGGTTCCATCCCCAGCACTGGGTAAGGGCAATAGAGTGTGGAAGAGGGTCTTCTGAAGAGCCATGTAAGAAATGAATGCCAAATTTCTACAAGTAATCTACCAGTTCCCATGAAATAATAAAAGAAAGGGTTTTCATATAATATGCGCAGATGTAAATTATTTTAAGTGTTTTATACTTTTCCTAAGCCCAATAAAACTGGTTTATAAGTCTGTATTATTTCATGTTACTAAATTTTTAATTAGTGGTGTACTATTATTTTCACAGGAAATCAATACTTATAATAATACCTTCCATTTAACTTTAATAGGATACGTCTTATTATCCTCATTTTGTAAAATATTTCCCAACCTAACAGACTGAAGATCAGTGAACTCTGATTTCAAATGGGAAAGCATAAAGGAATTGACTCACCAACTACAAATTTGCCTAGGAAGGAGAAAAGTTCAGGTACATATCCTAAAGTTAACTCATTCATGCACAAGATCAGTGTCCTGGTGTGGATGGGTCAGTAGTCAAGATCTTTATATCAGGTTAAGAGGTTTTTGTTTTATTCATTTCATGATAACACTTGATTCTTTTTATAATTCCTGTTCACTTTGGTAACGTATATTTGATCATCTAAACTATCCATAAGGAAAACTAGTTTTTCTCTCTTGTCATTCTTGAGTCAGTACTTAAATAAAATAAAAACAAATTTTTTTAAAAAATAGGTCTTTAGTTATTGCAATAGTTTCCATTCGTCCTAAAGGTTTTCAAATGGTTACTTGGAATTACTTGTAGACAAGTTTGTGTTTGTTGTTGTTGTTGTTTTACAAAGTTCCCAGACTAACACTGGTCCATCTTGAATATCATGTACATCTTTCCTGAAGTTCTTCCTTCACAGAAGAGTCTTAAGCTGCTGTATAAGAATCACTGCACCAGATCATGCTTATTTCTGTTACAAAGATCTTCAGAAAAAAAGAAACCAACCAACCAAACAAACAAACAAAAAAACCTGGGCTTCCCTTGTTTCCTTTGCTGGTTTCTAACTCCCTTCAACCAGTTCATCTATGGATATACCAAAACTGATAGCTGTTCTCAGCAAAGGAGTTTTCTGGCTCCTTGTGTTGCCTATGAAGATCAACTTTGTTTCTTTCTGCAATTTTTCCAATTATAAATGTTGATGGTATTAGGTAATCTTGATCAAATATGAGTGATAACTTCTTTGGAAAGAATTTCTGTGGTTCTTACCTGGAGCCAGAGGGGTACCCCATCACAGGTATGGAAATTTGAATGCATGTGTAGATATTTGTGCAGTTCTTGAGTAGTTTTGTTTGCAAAGGTGCTATGTTATAGTTCTCTATAAGTATAAATTGCCCCCTCTGTCTCCACTATAAGTGAAGCCTCTCTTTTATGAGGCTAGATACTAGCAAAGTTCTGAATCTTGCTTACCGGAATCTTTTCTACTCAAAGTAAGTGACTTAACACCACAGTCTCTATTTTAGCAGAGATAGCTAATCTGGACTAAACTGAAGGGCAGTGGTTTTAGAAATAGCAGCTCGAGTTTTGGTGGGCTAGAGAAAGGAGAAACCAGAGGGGCTGGCTGTGCACTGCTGGGAGAAGAAAACTGGGAGGAGGGAAAAGAGATGCGTCAGGTGGGTGGAACCAGTTGCTATGGTTTCTGAGGTTCATTTTAATACCAGAGGCTGCCAATTGCATTCATTATTGACATGCAGATTTAGGTGTAGGCTACCTGGGAAGAAAAGACTTTATACCCTTAGGAAGCAATCCATACCGAAAGGCTCCAGAAAACGTGATCAAGAGTAGATTAATGGTAAGAAGAGATTTTAAAAATGACATACAAGTGGACAGTACAGTGTTCTGCGGACTGACTGTTCAGAAAAAGTTCTGCTTGTCACTGTCACAAACACAACATGCTGACCTGGGAAATGGCATCACAAAATAATAGTCCTGCACACTGTTGAGACAGTGAACTTAGAGTCAGAATTTCTGGGTTCAAGTTGTAGCCTGGAGGTCAGTGCCTTGGCAAAACTTAACGAGCACTCTTATATTTCTCTACCTCTAATTTCTCATCTGTTAAATATTCACAGAGCTCTGGAAGCTATGATGAGGTGCAAATGAAATTAAACTATATAAAATCACAATTTTAATTTTTCTATGTACCTACAATACCAACCCCTATCCTCCCACCATTCCAAAAACAAACAAAAAATGATGTGTGAGAAATCAGTATCTATCTTGTTAAAATAGCTGTTGCATTTTTAACAATCCTGGAGGATCATGTGGAGTCACTCCGTACCCACATCATTGTATGACTGTTCTGAGCACAGACTTATATGGGAATATTTGAACTGAAGTCCAATTTTATCTATTCAGTGAGGAAGAGATAAATGTATTTGGCAGTTTTCGTGCGATGGACGCCCTTCTGTGTGCACCACACATACTGTTGATGTAAAATGACAGAATGCTAGGAGGGAATTTTATGAAGAATAGAACATAACTATCAGAGCTTCTTTAAAAAATAATTCAAGGTGAGTGTGGTAACGCACGCCTTTAATCCTAGCAGTTCAGAAGGCTGAGGCAAGAGGATCACAAGTTCAAAGCCAGCCTCAGCAATGGTGAGGCACTAAAGCAATTCAGTCAGACCCTGACTCTAAATAAAATACAAAATAGGGCTGGGGATGTGGATCAGTAGTCGAGAGCCCCTGAGTTCAATCCCTGATACCCCCACCCCCCCCCAATTCAAACAAACGACAGATATCTACTTAATCAAACTAGCTGTGACCACTCAAGGCATGATTGTGATCTAGATGGTATTTTGTATTCGAAGGCTGAGGAAAGACTTTCCATTGCAAAAGTAGTACAGGTTCCTTAGTTCCTTATATCCCTCATCCTGCTTCCCTAGAGAAACATCTTCTTGTAATCATTATACCGTTGTTGAAATCAGGTTAATATTTCCATATAAATCTTAATTTTCTATCTAGAGACTTTTCTTCAAATTTTGTCAGTTTCCCAGTAATGTCCTTTTCTAATCTAGAATTGCATGATTATGTCTTTGTAGTCTCGTCTTATCTCTAACCATTCTTTATTCTTTTTAATCTTACTTGACATTTGCACTTTATAGAGTATTACCACCGTTTTGTAGAATGCCCCTCAGTTTTGGTTTGTCTGATGTTTTCCCATGTTTGGGGGAGGTAAGTTTTTGACAAGAATGCCACAAAAGTGAGACCGTGCCCATCCCAATGTATCCTTTCGGGATGTCAATGTTAACGTCCACCAGTGGTGTTAACTTTGATGTCTCTTTTAAGGTGGTGTCTGTTAGATTTGCCTAATGTAACATTATGAGTTTCCCCCTTGTAATTAATAACTGTCTTATCATTTGTTTGTTTGTTCTGGTGCTAGGGATAGAACCCAGGGCTATGCACATGCCATGCACATGCTGTGCCACTGAGCTGCACCCAGCTCTCTTTTGTCTTTCAAGAAGATTTTATGCTTTCTTAAGCTGATGGTCAGGGTTGGAGCAAGTGTCATTCACAGAGGGTTGCAAAGCGCCCTGTCCTGGTAGGTCTAAGAAATGATGCCTTCTAAAATGATGGAGTCATTATGTAAGTGTTTAAATAGATTTCTCTCAATCCACGCTGAAATGGATTGCCTGACATTACATTGCAGGATTTTTAAGTCCTACCTTCAGGCAAATCTCATAGTTACTAGCAAAAATGAAAGTGTGAAATGCTTTTTAATGTATATTTAACAACACATAGTCTGATGATTGCTGATGTGTAGTCTCTGTGGACTTCCTTTGCTATCAGAGGAGGATGCTAAGAGACAACTTTTTACACATTTATTCTATCTAAATCCATCACATGTTTACTTTTCAAATATCTATGACTGTCATTTATAACAAGATCATAAGAAGTCAAATACTTTAAGTCTAACTCAAACTTTGAATCATAGGATTACAACCAATTTTCTGGAAAAGTACAATTACCTTTCACAAATAATATTTCCCTGATTGTACCTCATGAATTTGCCTACTCTTAAATGATGCTAAAATACAGCCATTTTAAAAAGAAAAGATACAGCTTAGGGAGGGGAGTATGAGGGGTAATGCTACTTTATTCATCTGTTTGATTCAGAAATTCACATAACTCCCATTTAAAGGAATTTCCATCATTGAATCCAGTTTCATGTCTGCTTGTGTCGAAGAAGTAAATTTCACAAACTGTACTTAATTCCTTCCTATGGTGTCACTATTTAATAAGGATTAAGGTACCCTTTTTTTTTTTTGCATTTATACTGGCTTGCACAGCAAGAGTTCACGTCTTATACTAATATATGCTAAATAGTTGCATAGTACATAGATCATTGTTGTTAAAATAGCAGTACTGAAGGCATTTTAGATCACAGAGCCCCAGTGGTCTACATTTTGTTTGCTTTGACATTATTAAACTCAATCTGTTTCTCTAACTGTGACTCTAATTACTACATTTGCATGGCAGAAAAGTTTGCTTTGTGGGTTGATTTTTATTAACAGTGCTTGCATGTTGTTTTCTGCTCTCGCTCTCAGTGTTTCACGAGCAGAGAGAGCACCTTCAGTTGCAGTGGATAATTATGCACAATCAATAAGTTTCTGTGTTTGTCTTTGTTGTTTCTTTGATGTGGCCTGTAGGATGCTGCCGGCAAGGTGCTGGACCGCTGGGCCATCATGTCTCGAGAAGAGGAAATCATCACCCTTCAGCAGTTTCTGAGGTTTGGAGAAACCAAATCCATTGTGGAGCTGATGGCAATTCAGGAGAAAGAAGGGCAGGCCGTGGCTGTACCATCTTCAAAGACAGACTCAGATATAAGGACTTTCATTGAGAGCAATAATCGCACCAGGAGTCCCAGCCTCCTTGCTCACTTAGAGAACAGCAATCCTTCCAGCATTCATCACTTCGAAAACATCCCCAACAGCCTTGCATTTCTGCTTCCATTCCAGTACATAAACCCTGTCTCAGCCCCTCTGCTAGGGTTGCCTCCAAACGGGCTACTTCTAGAGCAACCAGGACTGAGGCTGCGGGAACCAAGCCTTTCAACCCAGAATGAATATAATGAGAGCAGCGAGTCTGAAGTGTCTCCCACACCTTATAAGAATGATCAGACACCAAATAGAAATGCCCTGACCAGCATTACCAATGTGGAGCCCAAAACCGAGCCAGCCTGTGTCTCCCCCATTCAGAATTCTGCCCCAGTCAGTGATCTCACCAAAACTGAACACCCAAAAAGCTCATTCCGGATTCACCGGATGAGAAGGATGGGGTCGGCCTCCAGGAAGGGAAGAGTGTTCTGTAACGCATGTGGGAAGACTTTCTATGACAAAGGTACTCTCAAAATTCATTATAATGCTGTTCATCTGAAGATCAAACATCGATGCACCATCGAAGGCTGCAACATGGTCTTTAGCTCCCTCCGAAGCCGAAATCGGCATAGTGCAAACCCCAACCCTCGCCTTCACATGCCTATGTTAAGAAATAACCGAGACAAAGATTTAATTCGGGCCACATCAGGAGCTGCCACCCCCGTCATAGCGAGTACGAAATCAAATCTCACACTCACGAGTCCTGGCCGGCCCCCAATGGGTTTTACCACTCCCCCACTAGACCCCGTCTTACAGAATCCTCTCCCTAGCCAGCTGGTATTTTCTGGGCTAAAGACTGTACAGCCTGTTCCTCCATTTTATAGAAGTTTACTCACTCCAGGGGAAATGGTGAGTCCTCCAACCTCCCTCCCAACCAGTCCCATCATTCCAACCAGTGGTACCATAGAGCAGCACCCCCCACCACCTTCTGAGCCAGTAGTGCCAGCAGTGATGATGGCCACCATTGAGCCTAGTGCCGACCTGGCACCCAAGAAAAAGCCCAGGAAGTCAAGCATGCCAGTAAAGATTGAGAAGGAAATAATCGATACTGCTGATGAGTTTGATGACGAAGATGATGACCCCAACGATGGCGGAGCTGTGGTCAATGACATGAGCCATGACAATCATTGCCACTCCCAAGAGGAGATGAGCCCAGGCATGTCTGTGAAGGACTTTTCTAAGCATAACAGGACCAGGTGCATTTCAAGGACTGAAATAAGAAGGGCTGACAGCATGACTTCTGAGGACCAGGAGCCCGAGCGGGACTATGAGAACGAGTCTGAGTCTTCAGAGCCCAAACTGGGTGAGGAATCCATGGAAGGGGAAGAGCACATTCACAGTGAGGTGAGTGAAAAAGTCCTGATGAGCAGTGAGAGGCCTGATGAGAACCACAGTGAACCCTCTCACCAGGATGTCATCAAGGTGAAGGAAGAATTCACAGATCCCACTTATGACATGTTTTACATGAGCCAGTATGGACTGTACAACGGTGGGGGGGCTAGCATGGCTGCCCTACACGAAAGTTTTGCATCGTCCCTGAATTATGCCAGTCCTCAAAAGTTCTCCCCAGAAGGTGACCTGTGTTCTAGCCCAGACCCCAAAATCTGTTATGTGTGCAAGAAGAGTTTCAAAAGCTCCTACAGCGTGAAGCTTCACTACAGAAACGTTCACTTAAAAGAGATGCACGTCTGCACAGTGGCTGGCTGCAATGCTGCCTTCCCCTCGCGCCGAAGCAGAGACAGGTCAGTAAATCTCCATTGGCTGCTCCTGCTGAGGGTGGAGGGTGCCAGTGTCAGTCATGTTGGACCAGACATTAAAAGGTCCAGCCTCGCTGTTTTGATGCACTGTAAAGATTGTCCACAGTGACCATGTGATAACTAAGCTGCCATGCTCATGAAGGATTGTTGCAGTTGTTGCTTGTTATGATTAAGCATGCAGAATCGTATGCCATTTTACCCAGTAATGCACGCCATTTTTCTATGTGTGCTGTGTACATGTGTGTGTGCATATGTATTTCCATGCATCTAGGTGTGAATCAGTTAACTGTACACAGTTCCCTGCCTCCCCATTTACCTTTACTTAGAAGCCGCAGCTTCTGTCATAGATATATATATATATATATATATATTTCTGCTTTGCCTTGTGGCTTTTTAATTAAATCAATAAATTATCTTCATACACACATATTTATCCAATATAGAAACAGAAATTTACGGATGGAAAGAACCATAGGTCCAGGACATCGAGACAGCCTGCATCTCCGTAGGTATAACCAGAAATGTTATCATTCCTTACATGAGTATTTAGTATGTCCTTAAATTCTTTAAGAGTCATGAAAATATCAGAAGAAAATGTGAAGCCAAAGTCATTGTTGATGTGGGGGCAAGATGTGGCGGTGTGGGTTTGTTTATTTTAATTTCATGGTGTCTTTGAGCATATGTCTAAAATGTAGTTGGCCATGGGAATTAGGCAGAGAAGGGGAGGCTTGCATGTACTGTAGGATCGGTTGAACGTATTATGTCCAGCCTTCAGATGACATCACACCCTAGCTATGTAGCAGCAGCTCTGAAACAGTTGGGCTTAAACAGAAGCAGCTTGTCCTAAACCTCCCGTGTTCTTTATTAAACTTAAAGAAAGTATAGTATAAACGGAATGTGCCAAGGTGGTCAGTGGTAGGATAACAAGGTCATCCTTCACTATGGAGATGAGCCTGTGAGCAGATCATTTACGTACTGCACCAGTCCAGCTCAGGTAACACACCAGTTAGTTATTCCCATTATATTGAATCATGGTTTAGGATTCTATGTTGTCTCTTTAAAATATTTTTAGAGAAAATTTTAGTATATGGCAAAAATCAATGTATGTGGAAGAAACAAAATTAATGAAGAAGTTTCCAAGTAGCCACAACCCATTTTCTAGTGCTTATCAGTTGGGTAGAATTCTTGACAAAGCAACCTATAATGAAAGAACTATGGAAAAGTAGTCATATGTCTCTGAAATATTCTGTTTTATCTTACTTGAAAGATGAAGCCTTTAAAAAAAGCCATATATGTACACATATATACATACATATGTGTACCTATATGTGTGTATATATCTAAAATTTCCTTTCTACTGAAACAAAAGGAGCCCAATCTATGAAAAGTAAAATCTCTAAGTGGTTTTCTTATACAATGCAAAACATGCTTTTAAAGAGAAATCTATTGTCTAATAAAAGATTTCTCACCTCCATTTATATTGTTCTGTAAAAATGGGTTGTAGTCACAAAGTTATTTTAATTTCTAAGTTATCATTGGTGGTTCCAGAATATGTCAGGTAAGATAGATATACTTTGAATAATAAAATATAATACTATATCCAACCTCCCCTGAGTTTTTGAGTAATATTCATTTTTTCAAATTTGAAATAGTGCATGAGTGATAATGAGGTTAATGCATTGAAATTTTTAACAAAAATAAAAGACTCATGAAAACCTACATCAAATATTTATGGAAATGGAGTGTTTGAAGACAAGCCAAAATTCATGCTTATTTGCATGAATTCCTATCAGAGTTTTAGCTGGTTTGCTGAAAATATTACAGGTCATAACACCAGAATAAACACCTGTAGGACCAAAAAGGCTACATACCTAAAGCTTGGTACTTTCATTTATGTCCAGCCACTAAAAAGCACAAGTGCTAGGATGTTTATGTCCTTAATGCATAAGGAGATACTATTGCATGCTGTTGGTTTGTCAGAGAAAAAACATTAATTGATGGCCAAAGACTATTTCAATCTCCATTTTTATTTTAAGGATGTGGGAGCTTAGCCAGTGGCTAGACATATAGAAGCTTAAACCAGTGACAGATAACCAGGATGTTCCAGGTGGGAAGAATGGTACAGATGTGTTCTCATGTGTTTCGTCTCACAGGAGATGGCAGACTTTGGGAGACAGTTGATAGGTTGAATTTTGTCCCTAATATTTTTAAGTTTTAGAATTTGTCACACCTGATAACTGAAGAAGAGCAAATAGAAAAAATATTGCAGATTGTATTTTTTTTTTTTTTTTGCTTTCTAAAAATATCCAAATCTTTTGATCTCAGGTTAAAAACTTGGGGGAAGGGGACCTTGATACTTCAAGAAGAAAAGTATTCATCCTTGTTGTATCTGTGACTTGGGTTAATATAGCACTGAGGCTAGCTACCATCAAATGACCAGAAACAGTGATGCCATTGGGTAGTGGCCTCTTTAGGCATCTCAGCAGAGTGGGCTGTGGAACAGAATTCTACTTATTTCCGCCTTCTTTTGTCACTCCATCATCTAATGGCAGCCTGTGATGTAATCTCCTGTGCACAAAGCCTCTTGGATCACATCTCTGATCTGTCCGTTAGGCGTACCTTCTCCTCTCTTCACTTTTACTCTGTGAGTCACTAGAATGACGGGAAGTCTACGGCCCTATTTTTTTATACTTCCACTCACTGTGAAGCTAAGTTTTCTTACCTTTCTATTGAGCCAACAGACCTTGCCAAAGAAACTCTCCTTTGTCTTTAATTTTGCTTCCCTGTAGCCATTTCTTCCTTTTCCCCAGAGTTTTGAGTTTCATTCATCCTTGGCTCCACAGTTTCTACCTTGTGTGCAGATGAAGCACTGAGGGAGCTTGAGCCCCCTGGAGTATGCAAGCTGCCAGGGTGCCCTTGGTATGGCCTGCACAATCGGCCTCTTCCTCCTGTTCACAGTATGGCCTTCTTGTCTTCAGGATTAGAAACCTTACAGAAGTTACCCACAGGTCTTCCTGGGCTTCATCCAAGAAGGCAGACATGAGGAAGTTGGTGTTTTTGTTCTTCAGATAGGCATTTTAGTAAGATGGACGTAGATGTGAAGTACAGTGTTTTAGGTTTGGCATTCAGGTGGAAAATATTCCCAGGTCTTTTCTTATGGTCCTTCTGGATTTTATAAGGTCAAGTTAAAGACTTCTTGAAAAGCAAGAATGTTCTTTGTTTAATGTGACAGGGAGGAGAAAGAGGCACAAGGTTTGTTAGGGTCGAGGATTCTAAGCAGCAGTGCCAAAGGCATCCTTTTCTATGTAGTTATAAATAAGTGTGTGTTTAATAAATTCACACTCATGACAAAGAGCAAGCAAAGGGACACAAAATCTAATTCATCCCAGTCACTGGGTGGCTATTGGAATAATTTTTATTCTAAGCAATGAAAGTGAAACACGAATAATTTTCTCTGTAAAGAACTCTGGTTCTCCAAGGTGAGTGCCGAAGTGTTTGGGTGTATATTGATAACACTGTGAAGTATTAGCTTTTGAAATTGCTTCTTCCTTTATCCCTTGATTTTTCTGCTGCTGAGATGTGGTTCTGTCAGGGAGTAAGAGACTGGTACTTAGTTTTGAAGTATACATATGAAATAGTCCCTGGGAAGAAGAGATTCTAACTAACTGGCCTGGACCTTCAATCTTCAGAAAGAGAATTTTCTTGAAGATAGCATCATAGTCAGATTAGTAAGATTTAGTTAACTTTGGTCATTTTTCATCCTCTGACTTAAATGTTTGATCCTGAGGAAGGATGACTGGCCATGGATTACCTCTATATAAGGAAAGCCCATGTATAAGTTAAATTTAAATTTTATTTAGGGAAAAAAAAATAAGCTTCTATCTTCTTCCCTAACTTTGCTTCGTATTTGATAATATGTCATCAAGTACTTTTATCTGTTTTAGTGATTGGCAGTTTTAAAACACCAGCAACTAAAATGAGGACTTCTTTCTCAGAAACTAGATATGTGTATAGAAAGAAATATTTGTCTTTTTTGAGTTTCACCACCTTTATTGTTTACTTCTAAGAGCAGTGGCCACTAATTGCTAAGGTTTGTCTTGAATTTTATCAGGAAGGTAAGCATAATCTGATCTTCAAGGTGTAGGGAAGGTGATCCAGCCACATGAATAAATTTAAAAACAAAATATTTGCTTAGGGTGATTTATAAATAAATATGAGGCAGCCATTGGTGCCAAGTGTGAACCTTCCTCGATTGCTAGTTAAATCAGTCCAGATTTAAACATGTAAACTTCTTGATTTGTATGGAGTAAGACATCTGTATTTGGTTTATTAAAACCTGCTGATGTCTCCAGAACTAAATTTGTTCCTCTATAGGCCTCTGGGTAGCTGTAGCTAAAAAGCAGAGATGTATAGTTTTTGCTAGTCTTATTACCTGATTTTAAGCCCTGTACAGGTGTACAGGAATAAATTAACATGAGCTACCTCTGATGAGCCACTGCATACATTAACAACAGAGGTGAAGATGCGAAAACATGCTACCTGCCTCCTGTTATCACCTTCTCAGGGAGAGCAACATTCATTTTTTCCATCATTTTCTATGTTTGGAAACTTATGGAGAACTTTTCTAGAGTGAGCTTTTCAGCAAGTACACACAATTTCACCAGGCACTACCTCCAAGAAATGAGCCACTTAGCACCAATTCAAGACAACTATTAGTATATTTGCCCTAACATAATTAGCTGTCAAATACAATATGTTAATTTCTCCATGTACAAGAAAAAAACATTTTAAGGGAGCAACAATTTCATTTCCCAGTCAAACTACAGCCCTGAAATTCCAAAATTCTTTGATGCAGTGAAGTTGAGCAGGTCCTCTGACTTTTAAATGTTAAGGAAGAGATTTTTTCCCCTGCTACTCTATTTGGTCTCACAATAGCGCCAGCAGATCAATAGGCCTTTTGTACTTATCTCCATTACTTTCCATCA